TTTTCCTGTAGTGATGTATAGAAGTGAGAGCTGGACCATAAAGAAGGCTGACTGCCAAAGAATTGATGCTTTTGAATTGTGGTGCTGGAATGCAAAGAGAACAAACCTATCAATTCTAAAGGAAATCAACCCTGAGCGCTCACTGGAAGGACAGATCCTGAAGCTGAGGCTTCAATACTTTGGCCATCTCATGAGAAGAGAAGACTCCCTGGAAAAACCCCTGATGTTGGGAAAGTGTGAAGGCAACAGAAGGGGACGACAGAGGACGAGATGGTTGGACAGTGTCATCGAAGTGACCAACATGAATTTGACCAAACTCCGGGAGGCAATGGAAGACATGAGGGCCTGGCATGCTCTGGTTCATGGGGTCAAGAATAGTTGGACATGACTTAATGACTAAACAACAACACCACTTCCTACTGCCATTTAATGTTGTCCACATATTTAACACTAGACGAGGCATTTCATGCAGTAGGTGCCATGTGCCATCAAGAGCATCCAACAGAAAACTTGCCTGATAGAACACAACCCACCAGAACACTGTACTGTGAAAATCCTGTTGAAAACAAATAAAGAGGCTGCACAAAGTAACAGCATATGCACAAAGGACCTCACAATCCTGTGCATTATTTCAATGGGGTTTCCCATACTTGGTTCCTGATGCATTTACATGCCTCTTCATAAACACAAAGGAAGGAAGGTACCAGAATATCTCACACCATTCAACTAACATTTAACCCTGAGTTTGCATGTTGCCCTCCATGATGTAACAGGAATTTAAATTTGCACCTGGGGTCCATGCACACTCCCAAAAGAAAAGATGCAAATACTGCCCTGAACATATTAACAAAAGTAAGGGACAACACAACTCAATCGCACATCTACTCTTCCTGGTTATTCAGAATCTCTCTTATTAGTGGTTCCAACAAGATACAATGCATTTGCTTGCAGACAATGTCACTTCCAAATAAAAGCTAGGGAACCCTGCTTAAGGATGCACCATTATGTCAATTAAATAAATAAAAATAAAAATGTTTTGCACACTCAGATTAGCATCAGTGGCAGATTTGCATGTGCACAAGGGAGCCATGTGTTTTTTAATGAATACTGAGAAACACTAAAATTAAATGTTTCTCAACATTCATTTGGTGACTAAGTGGATGTTGAGAAATGCTTCAGCAATTGAGTCCTTCCTTGCCATCTCAAGGGTTACAGACTAGCAACAGACATATCATAGAGATTTGCTGGTCATGTAGCTTGGCTCCCAGCTGAAATGTCTGGCAAGGGAATTAAAGTCAACCATGATTCCAGCAGCACAGAGATGCAAAGGAAACATCTTTGTTCATAACCTGTAACCTTTCCTCCCTCTTTCTACCCTCACTCCATAGTAGCAGCCAGTCTCCAAATTCTAACTCTCAAAAGACAGAAGATCCAGACTTCCTAAATATAGCTAATACTTCACAATTAAGTAGGTCTTAAGGACCTTGTTCACCTTAAAAACGTGTGTTGAAGTGCTTCCTCCTCTGTTTTAATTAATTGCATATTCAGATTTAAAATTTAAGGAATCTGGGACATGACTTTGGGGAAAAACTGCAAACAAGGGCAGACAGCAGGAAGGAGGAGATAAGCCAACATAGCCCCAAAGTCAAGAATTTTTCACTGGCTCTTTTAAGCTTTACTGGATGCTTCCAAGTAGTCCAGCCTTAGATCCATTTGAAGTATCTCATTACCACCATGCCACCATTTTACTGGAATCATAGCAGGATAAGCAGTACATACCCCACTTTACAGTATATATTAGTTAGTTATGAGCTGTAAAATTGGAACAGATTTGCAGAGAGCCTAATAGATATTATTTCAAGGTAAGTGGGATAACTTGAGTGGTTTTCCCGATTCCACTCTTCCAATGAGTTTCCATGGCTGAGCAAGGATTCAAACCCTGGTCTGCAGCATTCTAATCTGTCACTTTGTCTGCTATACCGGTGGTCCCCAACCTTGGGCCTCCAGATGCTCTTGGACTTCAGCTCTCAGAAATCCTGGACAGCAGAGGTGGTGGTGAAGCCTTCTGGGAGTTGTAGTCCAAGAACATCTGGAGGCACAAGGTTGGGGACCACTGCACTACACCACTCTGGGTACATGGTACATTTTACAGTGTACGTTAGCAGTATAAAGACTCATGAGATCTCTGGATAGACCTTACTGAGTTATATCCAACTTCTACTTTAGGCTTTGCAACTGGGTTAAGCCCTGGGCGCCAGTTCCACCTCCACAGAATTATGAACTAAACAACCTTGACACCACCATGCACTGCTAGAACTGAGACATGGGAATAGTTTTAAACCACATATTTTCTTTTTAAAAAAAGAAGTAAATGGAGCACATGCATCTGATTTATTTATTTTTAAAATAAAGAATCCCAGAATCTTCCAGGGGTGCAATTCTCCTTTATAACAAGGCATACACTCCCAGTATACTTTATTACATGGAAGAAAGAAGTTTTAAACTACTACTGTCACAAATATTGGCACTGAAGCATTAAATTCCGAGGTGGTCTGGCTGTAGTGGCTGAAAAGTAGGAAGAGGTGGTGATAATGAATGAATGAATTTATTTATTTATTACGGCCGGGTGACCAGCTCAGAAGGGGTGGCGATAACTCTTCCTACTCCATAGCTGCCTATTGACTCCCATCCTATTTCAAAGACGTTAGCCTAGATGTACCTTTTTAAAACTGATCAGTGCTCTACGGAGGAAAAAGGTACATGTTAGGAAACATTGCACAACAATGACCAACACCTTTACTATTCATTAGTTAAGAGACTACACTCAGCATTTGCACATCATCACGATTCCCCTTTGCATTCTGCACTTCCGCACTCAGTACCCATGTCCCTTGTGCCAAACTGCTTAACATGTTTTTCTTCCTCAATCTCTGAAACTGTCTTTTGTGCCTCCTTCTTGCTCCCCATTCCCCATGCAGAGAACTGAACTCCTACAATCTCTTGAAAATTACAGCCAGCCAACTACAGCTATGGAAATCCATTTGATCATCCCTTGGACTGTAAGAGTCACAGACCCTTCTTCCTGCAGTAACTCAGCTCTCCAACTTACATTTCCCTTCTCTTATCAAGCCCTGACTCATGGAAGAACATTGTGTTCATCGACCCATTTGTACAATAGGCATCAACCTTGTCATTCATGAGTGTACCAATTTCCAGTTAGATGTGCTACATTAGGGATGTAAAGAATACAGTACTCACTCAATGTATTCTCGAAGGCTTTCAAAGCCAGGATCCGACGGTTGTCGTAGGTTTTTGGGGCTGTTTGGAAAAACCTCCAGACCACAGCCAAACAGCCCAAAAAACCTGCAAAAAACCATACTCACTCAATTCTTTGTACTCTCCAATTCAGGCTGTCTTGACTCAGTGAGACACTGAAGAATCCTGTAAGATTCCTTGCCTCCAGGTAACAAGAAAAGAATGTTGATGGTTTTTGTGTTGTTGTTTATCAGCAATGTCACTTTAATTTGTGTAAAGTCCCCTTCAATAAAAAAAAAGTTTGTATGTGTTTGCAAGCAAAAAACAAAACATGTAAATATGGCCTCAGAGGCCACATTCTACTTGCACGGGGATTTTTTGAACCCCTTAAGGCCACACCATAACCTTTGAAGTTCAAAAGAGGGAAGATAAAGGAGAGAGACTGTTTTCTTTTTACCCCCAAAATGCCCTTTTCCTACTGGAAGCTTCCAGAAGCAGCAGTTCTCACGGCTTAGAAACTGAATTTCTGGGCCCAATTAGAGCCTATGATGGAAGACACGAGTCTAATATTTGGCTCCCAAGTCCCCTGAGGTTGCCTTGCTCTAATCCCTAAAAGATCTGAGTAACAAATGGAACAAAGCAACAACCACTGTTACTTTTATTCATGCTAAAGCATTATTTATGCAATGTTATTTATTTTGCAAGAAAACCCACATATTTGCATTCTTGTTCTTCAGAATACCACAAAAAATAACTTAAATAAAGCAAAAAGAATAATATTGTGACAAGCAAGGATTTACATCCCTGGTCTAGAGCAGTGGTTCTTAACCTCTTTGAAAGAAACGCCCCCTTGAGCCATTGAGGAAGTTATCACGGTGAGTTAAGCCCTGGGCGCCAGTTCCACACTTTAAAAAACAAAACATGTAAATATGGCCTCAGAGGCCACATTCTACTTGTACGGGGATTTTTGGAACCCCTTAAGGCCACACCATAACCTCTGAAGTTCAAAAAAGGGAAGATAAAGGAGAGAAACTGTTTTCTTTTTACCCCCAAAATGCCCTTTTCCTACTGGAAGCTTCCAGAAGCAGCAGTTCTCACGGCTTAGAAACTGAATTTCTGGGCCCAATTAGAGCCTATGATGGAAGACACGAGTCTAATATTTGGCTCCCAAGTCCCCTGAGGTTGCCTTGCTCTAATCCCTAAAAGATCTGAGTAACAAATGGAACAAAGCAACAACCACTGTTACTTTTATTCATGCTAAAGCATTATTTATGCAGTTTTATTTATTTTGCAAGAAAACCCACATATTTGCATTCTTGTTCTTCAGAATACCACAAAAAATAACTTAAATAAAGCAAAAAGAATAATATTGTGACAAGCAACGATTTACATCCCTGGTCTAGAGTAATAACTTGCCAATTCTAACCAGAATTATCATGGAAGTTTTGGTTTTTGTATTCAGTTTTTTAAATCCTGAGAAATAGCTCTACATGGATTACTGGGACCTATCGCCCAGAATGTACTAAATCCAAGGTTCAAAAATCCCCCTAGATGCAAATGTTCACACCATGTGTCTGAATTCGTGCTTACGTTCTTTAAAAAAAACACATATTTTTCTGTGTATAAGACTATACTTTTGTATAAAACCTTTTAGACTAAAAATTGGGGGTCGTTTTATACATGGAAGTAAGCTGAGGAGAGAACAGGCACAAGTGGAGGGGAAAGCAGATATCAAAGCGATCCTGCAGTGCTTTGATCCCTTCCCCCCTACACTTGCTAAGCCCCACTTAGATTTCTTAATTTGGGGTTAGAAAAACGGTGGGCGTCTTATACGTGGGGGCGTCTAATATACAGAAAAATACGGTACCTGGAAACAAGATGGGAAGGGCAGCTAGCAAAGGTAAGTCTAATACCCTACAAACCTGCCTATTGTTTCTCCTCTGAAAACAAAGCCCTGCTCCTAAACTTGGCACAGCAGCACATACGGTTGAAATTTATGTATTTACCAACCAATACAAAATCATTCCCCCAGACTACCTGGTTGAGCGATAGCAGTCCTTGACGGGTCAGCTGAGGAATTCAAAGCACACATAAACTATCCCCTTTCGGCAGCACTCCTGAGAATCAGCAAACACTTAAGCAAAAACCCACTGCAAAGAAAAATGGCTCAACAGAGGGGAAAAGGGTTCAGAATGCCAAAGAAAGGCATGGTTTTCTGCTGGTGTTCCCAGCACACGTGTACACCAAGAAAGCAAAAAATAAAAGGGGGCATTAAGGTAACAGCAGGCAAATGTACTGCACTTACATGTAATCCCTGCCACCTGTAGATCAATAGCACAGGTAAAAGCAGGAGGGCATTAAGAGTCCATTAGAAGAAAGATGGATGTCGGTATATCCAACTATTGAAAGGGAAAGTGTGTGGGATGGAGCCTGATACTGCAGCCTGTTTAAACACAGAAAATTTCTCTAGCTGCCTTGTTTTTCATTATTAGGGCATTTAAAATAATCACAGTATCAACTGTAAAAATAGAACTTGAACCAGATCCTTCTGTTATCCATTAGCTGCACAGTCAACTGACTTTTAGGCAGACATAAGTAACGTTACTGCCAACTGAGGTAAACTGCTAGGCCCTGTGTCAAACAAGGGGGAGGGGACACAAATATGCTTTGCTACTGGAAGATTCAGAACAAAACTGTAATAAACTATAATAAAGCACAGCTTTATTAAAGCTCTAGAGTCTAAGGTTCTGCAAACCAATATCCATTCATTTTCCACAAAAAAATCCTTTCACCTCTAAAAAGCTCTCTTGACTGCTGTTTACCACATTATTTTATAAATGGGTGATATCCAAATTGCAGAAAGTATTTGCTGTGACAAGGTGAGGCATGTATACATATAACAAATCTAGATAGAACACTGGGGGGAGGGGGAAACAGAGTTATCTAATGGTAGTGAATAACCCAGTGCAGAGCTAACCATGTTTTACAGATCCAGATCTATGGATAAGACTGTATATTCCTTCCCCAGCACCTGTCAGATGATATTTCTTTCCCTTCTATTGTCACCATTACCCATGGTTTGCAATTGCCTATGTACAGCAGCAACCAGGGTTCCAAATGACCATGGTGAGCACATGTGAACCAAACCACATGGGTAGCACAAGCAAGGGAAGGAAAAATGCCACTGTGTCCATACAGAACCCCCCTAGTGGGCACAGAAAAGGCACGAGACACGGAGATTCATGAACAGCTTACCTAAGCTGAGACTGCAGTTTCCCGGCTTTGTTTATGAAATCTTCCCACACGGGATAGCTTCCCTGGAAGAGAAAGAAAACAACGATAAAGAGAAACCAAATAACTTTATTCAACCAGCCTTTTGAAATTTACATCTTACAGGCCACTGGACAGAGTAGATGCCACTAAATGTGCTCAGAGGCCCTCTTAACCATTTACAGTGGTGCCTCACTTAACGAGTGCACCGTTTAACGATGAATCCGCATAGCGACCCGTTTTTTGGGGTCGCTAATGCGATCGCATTGCGATGTTTAGATAGGCTAAATATCACATTGCGATCATTTCTGCACCCGGCGGCCATTTTGGAAACAGCTGATCGGCATCGGCGGGTCCAAAATGGCCACCAGGTGCAGAAAATGGCTGCCCGCACCATTTTCACACCCTGCCCTCGCTTACCGAGGGGGCGAAAATGGCAGCGCTATGGCAAAACTTCGCAGAACTGTGAGTTTAGGAGCCAACGAGGGCGCGAAAATGGAGGCGCTATGGAGAAACTTTGCAGAGCTGTGAGTTTAGGAGCCACAGGAACACATTAAACTCATTTTAATGCGTTTCTATGGCGTTTTCCATTCCGTATAGCGATGTTTCCCCATAGCGACGGTTAATCCGGAACAGATTAACCTTGCTATGCGGGGCACCACTGTATTTAAAACATTTATACCCTGCCTTTTTTCCCTAAGAAGTTCAAGGCAGCTAAAATCTGAAATGTAAGAGACAAAGTAAAGGCAAAGAAATTCTTCAAACAGTTCAAACAGCCGTTTTCACATTCTCACATGGCGTCAGAAAACGGCACAGTGAGATCTTCCAAGCAAAAGATTTGGTTCTGTTTCCCAGGAAAACTTTGGGAATGGAGGGAAGCAAAGAACAGGTTGAACATCTGGATGTTTTTTCACTTCACACTATGACTCTGGTTCACATCTGAAGCTGGATCAGGGTCAAAACGAAACAGCATTTCCCCCCTCTATTTCTGAAAATCATGCAATTATGACCATTCCCATTATTTGTTACTACTACGACTGTTATTGTTATTACTATAATTACTACCATAACCATGAATATTATCATTATTACTTCCACTTTGTGGACAACTGTTTCTTACAAGGTAAGACTTCAAGTGCCTTACAGATGGATATGCAAGAACAATATATAACAGAGCATGCTGCTAATATACCACCCCATAGCGCTTAAAGCTCTCTCTGGGTATAATTACAACTTAAACATGCAGGCTACACATTGTTTTCCCCACTCCAGCAAGCTGGGTACTCAATTTACCAACCTCGGAAGGATGGAAGTCTGAGTGAACCTAAAGCCAGCTTCTTGAGCCCGGGATCAAACTCACGCCATGAGCAGAGTACTGCAGTTTTACCACTGTGCTTTGAGCAATGTCTACCATTCCAAAAGGAAAAGCCACAACTGGAAAAAGCCCTTTCCTTTCTCACCATCTTTGGAGACATGTGAAAAAACGCCCTGGATGATGGCCAGAGTAAAAGCAGATCCACAGTAGGAGGAATATTCTGCACCCCATAGTGCTTAAAGCTCTCTCTAGGTGTAATTACAACTTAAACATGCAGGCTATACATTGTTCCCCCACTCCAGCAAGCTGGGTACTCAATTTACCAACCTCGGAAGGATGGAAGTCTGAGTGAACCTCAAGCCAAGCTTCTTGAGCCCGGGATCGAACTCAGGCCATGAGCAGAGTACTGCAGTTTTACCTCTGTGCTTTGAGCAATGTCTACCATTCCAAAAGGTAAAGCCACAACTGGAAAAAGCCCTTTCCTTTCTCACCATCTTTGGAGACATGTGAAAAAAGGCCCTGGATGATGGCCAGAGTAAAAGCAGATCCACAGTAGGAGGAATATTCTGTTATGGGTTGGTGTCCCAAACAATTTAAGCTTTTACGGCTTCAAAAATACTACTCAATTCAACAACCTTCAATTAGCCCACAGCGCCACCACGTCCCTGCAAGCTTTTACAGGTTCAAAAATAGTCAATTCAACAACCTTCAACTGGACTCAGAATTGCATGGCCAACCAGGGAAGGCTACAGGACCAAAAGAGATGATAGATCATAAACCTTACCGCTACATTTTCTGCTAGCTGTAAACTAATCAAATACACTTAATTCCTTTCAAAGTTGAATAACTTTCCCTACAAGTGAAGTACTACCTGGAGCACTGAGAGTCAGTAAAATGAAATTAATTCAGATCACACCAACTTCCAGAAAACTCTTTATTAGTCAGAAGGGAAAAGCAGAGAATTCTCAGCCATAAAAATGCCACTTACTAACTTTTTTGTTTGAGTTATTGAATTTTTAAGAGTGTCCAAGTAGATCCAAAAAAACGAATACACGAATCATTCCTGTTTTTGCCCAGAGATGTACATTTTCAGAAATGTTGAAGCCACAGTTGGGGGAGGGGTTTCTCTCATTTTTAGGAAAGCAGCAGGTTGAAATGGATTCAAACAAACTTTGGGTACATTTCAGGTATGGTATGTGACTGGAAGGGTGAACAAATATACAACTATTTTCACTATACAAAATGGTTTCTTGGTGGATCTAAATTTCTTTTTCCACTTCAACAACATGAAATGCATTCAAATAATACTATTTGGCATATTTATGAGCTATAGAGGACTCCTATATGTGTCAGAAATTAAGACTCATTGCCCCAAATCCTATTAGCTCATGCAACACAAGTGGGCACTCACACAAGGAAGCCTACCCATGCTGCTGGCCAGCCAGCATCTTCTTCAGCTTCCCTCAGGCCAAGGAAACAATCATGCACCCACTTGCAAAACAGTCAGCAAGCAATAAGGGAAAAACCCCAGTATAGCATTTACACTGTGTAATGATCATCAGCAGATTTGGATACTAAACTTCATAACAACTGTGTGCCATCAAGAGAATTCCAACTAATGGCAACACTTTCCATGATTTCCTAGGTACTGGATACTCAGAAGTGGTTTTACTATTTTTCTGGGGGCACCCCAGGACTGTGCAGCTTGCCCAAGGCAACACAATTCCTACATAGTGTATCTTTATCACACACATATTATGGCATATTAATAGTGGCAAAGTTAGTCACATTTAAACTAACATACAGTGGTGCCTCGTTTAGGGACATTAATCCATGCAGGAAAAAACATCGCTAAACGATTTAATCGCTAAGCGATTTTTAAAAGCCCATAGGAACACATTAAAACGCGTTTAATGCGTTCCTATGGGCTAAAAACTTACCTGTACACGAAAACCCTCCATAGCGGCAGCCATTTTGGGTGCCTCTAAAGCGAGGCAAAACAGCTGTCGCCATTTTGTTTTTCCGGCGGCCATTTTGGAACCGCTGATCAGCTGGTAAAAATGGGCGCTTTGCCACGATCGTGTCCCCACGATCATCGCAAAGCGATTTTTACCCATAGGGGCCAGCGCTAAGCGATCGCTCTGGCGATGGCAAAAAGTCCATCGCTAAGCGATTTCGCCGTAAAACGGAGCAATCGCTAGGCGTGCCACCACTGTATTCTTGAACCTATTACCATCAACAGCTCAACATTTTAATATGAGCTACCTCATATTAATAAATGTTACCTATTTTGATTAAGACATCATCTTGAAAAGCAGTTCATTCAATACAGAATAGAAAATATTTCATATTAATTTTTTCCAGCCCAACATTTGGTTTTTCCATTGGAAAAAGTGAACGAATGCATTAGAACTCATGGTCTCCTCAACTTATTCTTCCCTTGCCATTCCTGACCATTGCATTCCATTTTCGTTCCCGTGTCAATTGATGATTCTCACTCCACAGTGACAATCAATGGTATTTCAAAAATTAAACTTTTAATTTATATCATCAAAAATCAGATTTAAAAAAATTAAATTGCGATTTAAATCAAATTCGACCTGGAAGCTGTCACCTGCTGCTCTCTTCACCCTGCTCACCTGACTCTTACTCCTCATTCCACACTGCAAACCATCTCTTTCCTGGTTTCCTCAGATGGAAACGCAAAATATGAGCAAATAAGTACACTGAATCAGCAATATTTTTCCTGTGCTGAATGTTAATGTCTCACACAGCTTTCTCTCCACATTTAAATCTCACCCTTTTTTTCTTTTTTGGTAAAATATGGAACTGCTCAAGGGGAGTTTAATACTGTTTTGATCACTCCTCTAGTTCTTCCATCTTTTCCAGGAGACCTCATGGACCTATTAAACTCAATTTAGAGACTTGGGATTTTCTTCCCAAAGACCCAGTTAGGGCAATAAATGGGCCCAGGCCTCCCTCGCTTATAATCATGAAATGGATCTAAAGAGCTCTGTGCTTTGTAAGATATCTGTCAACTCTTGACGATTTTGGAATTCCAACCAGCTTCGCAACCTTGACCTCATCTGTTTCAGCATAATAACTAAACAAAACAGCAATTCATTCAGTCATCCTCAGATTTCTTCTCTATTGGGTTGTCTTTCATGACAACTATCTGCAATTCCTCTTCTTTCTGCTTCTTGTGAGCCATCTTAAGTTTCAATTTTGGGAGATGGGACATGAACCAAATTAATAAATAAAACAGAATTTTAATTGTCCACTGCAAAAGCTAGACTATATAGGCTGCCAGCCCAGTTCAACAGGGTCAGTCTTATAACAAGGTATTTTCGGTCTGCTTAACAAAATAGAACTATGATGGCACCTTCAAGTCTTGATTATTTCTTCTGGCTTGAATATCCAAGGATTCAACTCACTTCGTCAGGCACAGGTTATTTGGGATTGATCTCATAATCTAGTAGTTTACTCTAAAACTACTTGACTATTATTTGAGCAATCGTTCCCAACTAGCTAAGCACTTAGCCCTGTTTAAGATACTCTGGACTTGGAAATAATGCACTATACTTAATGCATTAAAACAGTTATTTTTGCAATGAACAGGAGGAAAGTATTTAGTCTTATGGAAAACAGTGCTCTTAAGGATGCTTTCAAAACCTTCTATGCACCAGTGTGCTTGTCCTTCTGTTTAATGCAAAAGTAACTATTTCAGGTCTA